CACGTGGCTTGATCTCTAGTACAATGTTTATGCACCCGGTCACGCCCCATATATGCAGGACGTTCAGCACCTGTGGCCTCTCTACTGCATTTGATTCGTGAAGAAACTGGCGAATCCAACCCTTCATTACATTTACTGCGTGTCAGTACATACATAGAGCGCTTCCAGGCTTTACTGTGAATTTGTGTTGGTGATCCAATAAGTACCCAAATGCTGGTTCATCGTTGCAGTTGGCCCGATCATTTTTTGTTCCCCTGGCCAGCCATGTCTAGGACAAATGAAGTTCAGCGTCCGATGATGTCTGCACTCCTACCTCTCGGCTACTGCGGGTGTCTTGCACCTCAAGAAACCTGCCGTTCAGCGTAAGTAAACAGTTCTTTCTCGCGCACAGCAATTTTATGCAGGCAGGGAAATATCACATGTTGCCTGCGTGTCGTTTCACTCCGGCAGCGGCCATCTCATAGGCACAGCGAATCGTCAGAGCCCCGCCTAGATCATGTTCAGCGTGCGTCGTCTCGTTGCTTAACATGTCCGCATTTATACCTCATGGCTACCTACTGTCCGTACTTTGCCCAACATTGAAAACGCGCAAGTATGCGCTTATTCCTACACATGGTACGATAATGTCCTGACAGGTCCTCGGCAAGATGCTTAATCGCTTGTTTTCAGATCTACTCAGATGCACCGGTCTGAAAGTCTGTCCTACCGGTCTCTGCAGTCAACGGCACCTGCTATGACAGAAGTGCTTCCCGTCCTGCTATTAGCAGTATACGTGCCATGCATCACTCCCGAAAGCTACACCCTTCTGCCACGGCATAAGCAGCTCCCGGAAGATGTTGTGGTGCAAGTTCATCATACAACCCCGCTGCCTTATTCATTCTATAATACCTAAACGGTGTGATAAGTGAACCACAAGTTCTCGGGTACCTTGCTGTGCTGCTTTGTCGGTAAGCTACCGAGATAAAAGCCATAGGGTCAACTGTAGCTTCGAGTTGTCCGATGCATTCTTGCTCGTAAACTGCTACGTCGCACTCGGTGATTTAAAAACGGTGCGTTTGGTGCTGGTTCGGGATGTCCAACTGCGCGAGTGCGTATGCTTGCACTCGTCCAGTGCTGCGTGTGTTGTGCTTACACGCGTGCTGCAATAATTTCATCTGGCAGTCCGCTTTACTCTTCGTGAACTGCGTTTCCAGAGGTCTGGTGTAACCGGCGAATTCCTTCAGGAATCTTGTTCGACGGGCCGGAAGTGATAGTCGCAATTTTTCCCACTAGAAAACCTTACACCTTGTGCTGGCTCATTTTCAAGGTGTTCAATGTGTGAATGTGGCCTTTAGTTCACATTTATTCTGGTTTACCATTTTGTGCTGTTATCCGAATTGGGCAGTCTTTCAAGTGGTTCATTAAGGCGAAGAGTGCGTAGCAGCATCAACGTACCAAGACAGCAAATGGTGTAAATTAGGCATTAAAACTACACAAGCTCCTTATCGTTGTTTGTATACGGGCATATTGTTTGAACTTCGGTGCTGTCATGTATGGGCAATTGCGCTTGCTGTGTAGATAATACAGCTTATTATTGTTCAAGGCAGGGATGACTGCCATTCTATATATTTATTGCACTTTGTTTCCCACTTTCCTGTACCATGTTTCACCAATCGGCCTAGTCCGGTGCTTGATGCGACCACACTATCTCTGCAAAATTTCCCCTCTTATCTGCCCAACGGACTGCCTGCCTCCCTCTCACACGTGCGCTCGCCCTTCTCCATAAACCCAGTCCGTTGTTCTTAATGGACACCCGTTATCTGGCCTTCCAGCTACACGCCCTGCCTCTTCTTCTCTGAATTTCGCATGGAGTTTCACCCGTTCGTTCCCTGACCCACTGTGCTCCCTTTTAGTTGCGCCCACCATTTAGTAAGGGCGAAGCTCCTAAAGGCGTGGGTCTGTCCATCCCTTGTATGTATGTATGTACGTGAGCACCTATAGTTCCGCCTTTGCCGACTTCCCACTACTTCGTACTTGCAAACATCCCACTATGCCCCATCAAGGATACACCACTTTACCGACTGTAAAGCGAACACTGTTGAGAATTAGCCAATATGAAATGCACGGTGGTTGTGTACTTGTATCCAGGTGCGCGTTAAAGAATCATAGATTATCCCTCTGCATGTGTCCATCCCTTGTTTGTACGTGACCGCCTATAGTTCCACCTTTGCAAACTGCCCGCTACTTCATCCTTGCAAACATCTCACTACGCCCCATCACCGATCCACCACGCCCCGCCGCGGTGGTCTAGTGGCTAAGGTACTCGGCTGCTGACCCGCAGGTCGCGGGTTCGATTCCCGGCTGCGGCGGCTGCATTTCCGATGGAGGCGGAAATGTTGTAGGCCCGTGTGCTCAGATTTGGGTGCACGTTAAAGAACCCCAGGTGGTCAAAATTTCCGGAGTCCTCCACTACGGCGTCTCTCATAATCACATGGTGGTTTTGGGACGTTAAACCGCACATATCATATCAAATCACCGGTCCACCACTTCACCGACCATAAAGTCGTTATAATGAAGGGGGAACGGAAGCGACGTATAGCTCTTATTTACGAATAATAAAATTTATTTTATAAATATATGCAGTGTGTGTCACGTCTTCGATGATGTAGTGGGCGATATTCGCGAAATATTCACGGTTTAGCGATGAAACCCTCCAGCGCTTCGCCCCACTCATCATCGTTTACTGCGTGAATATGCTGTGATTTATTTAGGGGCGAAGATCCTTATGGCGTGGGTCTGTCGCTCGTGTGTGTGTGTGTGTGTGTGTGTGTGTGTGTGTGTGTGTGTGTGTGTGTGTGTGTGTGTGTGTGTGTGTGTGTGTGTGTGTGTGTGTGTGTGTGTGTAACCAACCACCGGTGGCACATACCCGCTCTAGAGCAGGTATGTGCCACAGGGATAAAAGGAAGAAAGAAAAAGTAAAAAAAGATTGAAAAATATAAAATTGTAAAGTATTGGAACACGCGCGTTGGTTATATTTGATGGTTTGTAGAGCTACGCACGTGCGACGTTGGCGTGGTGGATCGCATACACCACGGAGATCTGCGTGTAATAAACTGTTGTTGAAAGTTAGCGCTGTGTTGTGTCTATGTGCCTTCTCTTGTCCGTGTTCGTTGTCTGCGCTACCATCCATCATCGTGCCACAGGGGTTGCGAGATGGGAGATGGCGGCACTTGGAGTGTTTATACTAGATGTACGCAAGGACGGTAGGACAGACAAACTAGCAGAATGACGAACGGATGAATGGACGCGTGGACGTACGGACGGATGGACGCACAGATGGATGGACGGACTCATGGACGGACGGGCGGATGTGCGCATGGATTGACGCACGGATGGTCGCGCGGACGGACGGAAGCACGGACGGGCTGACGGACGCTTCGCCCCACTTATCATCATTCACTCCGTGGATATGCTGTGATTTTTTTTTCATTGCACGACTCGCTGCATCGTCCTATATTTAAGCGGAACCCTTTTCGTAAGCCTCGAGGTTTCAACCCTGAAGGTGAGTATACCGGTAAGACGCAGCTCTTGTGTGCCTTTCTCATTGAGGGATGCAGTCTTACATTCTCTGGAAAGAAAAATTCTTTGTGACAAACCCCCATGGGCTTGGTTGAAAAAAATGTCGTGGTGGTTTCTTGGCCTTGCATTGCAGCACGTGTGGCGGCAAACCGCATTAGCTTGGCACCATAATCGTTGAAAAAAAATAAAATGACAGGAGAAATTATCGAGGCAGACAGAATATGTAGATAAGACTGAACTGGTCAAAAAGAATTGTCTTTCCTGAGAATGTAAGATTTTCGCGCATGGAAGTTGTGGGTTTCTTGAACGTTTGTTTGTTCAAAATAAACCTTGTAGGAAGTTACCGCTCATCATCGTCTATTCTCTTGCCCTGTGTCAAATTTTTGCACTACGCGTCAGTTATGCTTTACCAATTAGCATGACCAGCATCATACTCTTGCCTGTAATGGAGACTCGCAATGCACAACTAAACAAATGAACATCGACTGGAAACATAGAGAGACCAAAGTGGACCTTCACCAATTCATGAGCAGGTCGCTTGACGCTTAGGTGCCTCGTGAAACTGTGCTACGCCAAGAGAACTCCCGAAAAAGGGTGGTGACCTGCCATGATCAGTGTTAAGGTGTTCTAGAACACTGTAGCCGTGTCTTGGGAAAATGTATGCAACAGTACGACGATGATCTAACCATTTTTCTGTTTTACTCTCGCCTCATCAACCGGCTAATTCCGAATAATTCTGAAAATTAGGGAGTTGGTCTTATCCCGCACAAGGCATTACTACCCCTCCCAATCCACTCTCGTCTCTTGTCAGCACCCGTCGAATGTAAAGCCCCTTAATAAAATATCCAGGGACCTTAGTCGAATGGGCACCGCAGTGCTAGAGTTGGCCTGCTGAGGGGATTTTAAGCCTTCTTTAAAACAGAGGAGTTGTCAGGCCTCCCTAGGCACTATTGAACTTCTCAGCGCAAAAACTTCCGACAAGTAACACCTCGTCCTCGTCTCTTGTGTTACTTGTCGGAAGTTTTTGCGCTGAGAAGTTCAATAATGCATTACAAACTAGCCCAGTCCCACACTTTACCTCCCTAAGCACCCCACCCTTCCCCTGACTTTAATCAGCTAATGACTGCCTAGTATTTTAAATTTCCCGCACTAGATGTGTTAGTCGATGGCAAAGCCCCTTTGTGGCATTTTGCTGCGGTACACCTTTTAAACTTTACCTTCAATGTGTAACAATACAAAGAATAAAACAATAAAAAATAGTATAGTTAAGTTGAGATTTTGGCGTCGTTTGATTCAGAAGCAACGTTGAAGTGAATTCAAGAGGACGATTGGGCAAAACTGTGACCAAAGCGAAACTGAAACCAAAATGTATTTAAAAGTTGTTCGCAGGGGGCACTGCCGTCGTTTTGCGGAAGCGATTGAAAGTGTGATTAAATGCCACAAATTTCGCGTTACTAGGTCAGTAGCGCTCATTTGTGGGCACCATTTTAGCCTGTGTTCTCTTACACAGTCATTAACAATCGTTGGGACCAGCGTACATAACTTCATGTTTTCCCGACTCGGACGCCAGTCGACCGTGGAGCCAGCAACTGCACGTGTGCCGGTGATGCTTCGTGGTAATTATTGCTTTCTTGTCCGAAATTGGCGAGGGCTAAAGTGATTCCCGCACGCACATTTGTTTTGTAAGAGCTCATTGCCAGTGTACCAGACCGCATTAAACTTTTGGGTTCCGTACTAAGCGTACACCTAACGATCTCTCGAAGTGACGTAGCGCTCGGAAGGGTCCAACTTTCATTCATTCTCGCTTTCGCTCCGTCTATCTCGATATCGCTCGCGGCCGCGCCTCTGCCGACGTAACGGTGATGTCTCGAACGCCTGCTCTTATCTTTGCAGCTATGCATGAAATCGGACCGCAGCCTCGTTTATCGTAGAGAGATCCCGGGGGCTCGCCGCTGCTATATATACTCTTCCTCGTGACCATATAGCGACTGATGCATCGCGGAGTGGGACGAGTAGAGTAGTCGGAGCACCCTGTCCGTGCCAGACACGGCCGATATCCTCGTATTCCTATCTGTGAACACTCGGTACATTCGTGGCAGTGAGCGGTTGTTTGGAGCAGCAGCACCCTCGGCAGGTGGTGAGGAAGGGCAGCGCTCGTTGGGATAGCGCGCGCGGGAATTGGCCTGCGAGCCGCTCAGAAGGTTACTGCTGCTGCCTCGAGCGGCGCGCAGCATGGAATTTTTGCTTGGCGGACTGGCCGCGTGTGGTGCTGGCTTTTTCACCAATCCTCTGGAAGTGGTCAAGACACGCATTCAGTTGCAGGGCGAGCTGCAGGCTCGCGGACGCTACACAGTTCACTACCGCAATGTGTTTCACGCGTTCTACGCCATCGGCAAGCACGACGGCCTGCGGGCGCTGCAGAGCGGCCTGTCGCCGGCGCTGTGGTACCAGTTCTTTATGAATGGCACCCGCCTGGGCGCCTACCACATCATGGAAGACCTGCAGTTGACCAAGAACAAGAACGGTTCCGTCAATGTGGCCCGCAGCATCGCCGCTGGTGCCGTGGCCGGATGCGTGGGCGCCTTCGTGGGAAGCCCACTCTATCTGGTGAGGAAAGTGTTTCACTTCAAAGAGACGGTTTAGAAATGCATATGGTTTGTAAACGTTTATCTCCAGAAACGTTGCCCCTAGGAGATTGCTCTTGGGTGCTCTTTATTTGATCGTAAGCATAAATAGATTAGACAACAGCAGTCAATATATACATTCGCCAAACTGGACAGACTTGGTCACAGTGCTAAAGTATGGCAGATTATTTAACCTTCTATCAAAAAGTACTGAATCCTGGGTGGGCCCTGAAAGACTGAAATGTGCGAGAAACCAAAAATAGAAGGGAACATAGCTTGAATCATATGCTGCGACTCCTAAACCTTGTTTCTGACACACTTCAACTGCCTGATTAGTTGAGCATATCATTTTTCTAAGGTCACAGTTCTGTGTTGATGCATGTTGAACAGTAGCACATTGCTACAGCCTGCCATTTTGACATTGACATTGTACAGACGCAAAAGCAGCAGCAAGGGAAAACTCGCGTGGTGTGTGCAGAACAGTTTTGGCACATAGCCTTGTTTCATTCTCTGTATTGAGCATGCTAAGAAATCTTCCATCAGTCAAATTATTCAAAATTTCCCTTACAGTGAACTTCAGACGAACAGATGTACAGCTGATCTTCACATTACCCATCAGGGGCTTGCCTTTTGTACTGCCCAAAACAAACAGGGCAGCATCGAGGGCATAATATGACTGGTATTTCCTCTGCGTGTTGTGTACAGTGCTTGCAGATTAAAGGGAAACAATTCATGGTTAAGTAATGCATATATTTTCGTTTTCACTGTCTTCAGTTCGTGTCGTATTAATGCAATGTCAGTCTGCGAGGTTTTTAAGCTCAACGGGTCCCTCATTTGTTATGCTCTTTCCAGTGCACTGAAGAGCACCGACTCTTCAGTGCTGTTTCAGCCAAAAGCCATTTTGCTTGTTTGCTTATAGCAGCAGTTTCCTGTTCAACAGATATCTTGTTGGGGATTTCAATATATTTTTCATCTTTATCAGTGCATCTCTGCACCTGTCTGGGTTGCTGGCTGGAAACTTTTCTTTATTGCAGGAAAAGCTTGTGATACCAGACTTTTACTCTTTAGTGTATGCATCTGTGTGCACCTCCATAATGCACCAAGATAGTTCTTTTTTTAAATTTGTGGCATATGTGTGGATAAAGATGAGTGTTCAAACCTGCTTTGTCATGGTAAAACATGGAGAAATCTGTGTTACCAGCTTATCTGTTTGGGTCTGTGGCACCTTATCGCGCTCCTTCTGAGTAGATAAGAGCTGCCTGTGATTCACCGTTGGTGTCTCTAGCTTGCATGCAAATGATAACATTCTGTCTAGACCAGAAGTGGTGCGACTCCTCTTGCATCACACAGCACCGTGACTTGCTTATTTTTCCTGTGAGCAGTCGAGAGTCAGTGTCTACATGTTTTTATTTGGGATTCTTTTGAAAGAAAGGGACCATGAGCGGCTCTCCAGAATAGGGCTTGGGCAATTTTTTTGCGAAGTCTATTCTGGAGTGAGCGCAGTTATCTTGCTTTTAGCATCAAAAGAAGGAGAAGTCCACTTATGTATATTTTTGAATCATAATGCAGGTCAATACATTGGCTCTAGTAGAGAGGCGTTACAATAGAAAGGCTATGAAATAAAGCAGCCAGGTAACAACAAAGAGTGAAGATTGAGGATTCAAATACAGTGTATTAAAGAAGCTACCATATACTTAACAAAGCTTTCTTCAAGAAGTTGATAAAAAAGTATTTATGGCAAAATTACAACAGAATGGGAAGGTTGCGATATACTACAAAGAGGATACAACAGAAATCTTGTAAGCATAGTTGAACAGATAGTCTTGGCACTCTTCAGCCATCCTTGGCCATTGTCTTCTAAAATTCAGTATTAATCACCCTTTTGTCGCACAGCAGGATGAATTGTGTGCGAGTACCTTTAAAATGGTTGTAGCAGATTTTAATTTTAAGCATGTAGAAGCACAATTTTACGCAGGACAGTTATGCATCTGTGAATGGAAATAAATATTCCAGCAGAAACTACCTACTCATGCTTCTCGCAGTCAAATGAATACCACGGACAATTAGACCAAAGAATACTAGATATTAATCATTGCATTAGAGTATAACACGCTAATGGCAATGTAAATTGAAATGAATAAAGTGGATGGAAAAAGCACTTGGTCAGTGGGATCTGAACCTACAATTTCTGAATAATCTGTCTAATACTGTACTGGTTGAGCTAGAATAAAAAGCACTTGCCTGTCAATTTTATTGGGTATTTTGTTTGTGCAATCCCTGGCAGTGCTAGCCAGTCCCACTTGTAGCGAAGGCATTGATTGTAGAACACTCTTTTTGCTGAAGGGCATCATAGGGGGCATATTTACACAAGGGGTCAGCTTACCAAAATATCCTCATTTTTATTATTACTATTATCAATAATTCATTGGTTTCTATTATTCATAGTTGTGAAATACGAGACGGATGTGAATTCAATAGTGAAGTAAAAAAAACATATGTTTTGAAATTTAGTTTATCATCTGATGGGGGGGGCACCCTTTTTGTGTAAAATTCCACAGACAGTTGTACTTGTGCATTCTAGGATATTCAGAAGAGCTATGGATACAGGCCACACAATGCTGTCATGGGTGAAGGTATTAATCCTAATAACTACGTGTAGAAGTCTGCTCAGCTCTCTAAGAATATCGTAAAAACAGAAGAGGTCAGGGGACCCTTAGGCTTTGCAAAGATGAATGCGATAACAATATCCACATGAATGCACATGTGCAAACTGCTTGACACACACGCACACACTTTCCCAATCCTGTCTACGATTCTCACTTCTTGGAGGAGCCCTAAAGTGTGCATTAAGGAAAGCTTAATTGCAAACACCCCCTGGCTCCTGCCTTTATTGCATCTACCGGGAATTCTTGCTCACAGTCAACCATTCTTTTTTGCCAAGACTTGAGAGTCTGCTGACACCGTAAGTTCTGTGAAATAAGCTTTTTAATGCTATCATGTTAAAAAGAAATTCGGAGAAGTTTGTCTTGTTTTGGTGAGTGAGTGCAGGAACAATTCTACTTTGGGTACTCTATAAACTTACCTGCAAGGGCACGTTAAAGAGACACTAAAGAGGGAAACCAATTTTCTGTTATTAGTAAATCACCTTTTCACAATTATAAAATCATCGTGCTCGCCACTCTTTGTAAGCACGAAAATGCGCATAAAATAAATGCGGATGGCGACGCCACCTTGAAATTTCTGCACCAAATGATATGATGTCGTAAATCTTGGCGCTGTTTGCTAAGGCCTACGTAGCTCTAAATAGGTAAGAATGAAGCACGTCTGCTGGTTGGTACAAATACTTCCGAGAAACTTCGTTGAGCCAACGTCGCCAAAATATCACAAATACACTTGAAAATTCGTGACGTCACGCATGCAGTTTTGGCGACAAGTTTAAAGATGGTACTTCGACCTTACAGTTCTCCTCTGATAGTGAACCTACGATGGTGAGATTAATGACATTAGATTACTCGGAGAACGCTTCATCATTCTAAACCAATTCGTAGCTTTACTTTAGTGTCCCTTTAATGTAAAGCAAGCTTTACCCCTTTTGTAAGCATCCACGTTTCTTCCTTGTAGGTAAGCACTACCAAGATGCAGCTGCTTACATACCTTTCTCCTGAGGGAGACTGGTCAACTGGAAAGCTGAGAAAAATTTGCATAACTTTTTTTTGTATGTGTTGCATGCTCAGGTCAAGGTCCAGCTGCAGGCACAGTCGGCAACGCCCATAGCTGTGGGCTACCAGCACAACCACGAGAGTATGCTGGCAGCATTGCTGCGCATCTATCGAAGAGACCACGTGCGGGGCCTGTGGCGAGGGGTCAATGCAGCCTTGCTAAGGGTATCTACTGGCTCAGCAGTGCAGCTGACCACCTTCTCCAAGATCAAGTCTCAGATCAACCACATTGCTGTGGGTATTATTTTCCTTCTTGACCAATACTTGTGCTTTTTATTTTGTAACACGCTGAGCATGGAAACTCAACAGCATTGAATGCCATTCCGTGCGTAATGTCAGTTTCTTGCTTAATTTGTCTTCTTTAATGCTCGATTGCATAAATGTAAGCCAAAGCATTTTAGCATTTATTTTACCTGAAATACTTTATTGAAGAATTTTCTGTAAAAATATTACATGCACACCACATACATGATTCTGTGTCACTATTGGGCGCAACTTCATTTGCCAAAGGTGCAACAACCAGCTAAGCTGGACATGCCAGTGTGATCTCTAACCTCTTGGCTGACATTGCCAGAAATATTTAAATATTTTTGCCTGCATATGTTACTTCTACTACTACTTAGCCAGATGGTGCAATATTACATGTAGTCTTCGTTACATCATTATTTTGGTTATCAGAAAGTACTTACGTGGCAACAGAATTACTGTATAGGATTGCTCTTGGACTGTTCATTTCGACCATTGTTGGTATGAGGGTTTTGCAAGTTTGAATAGAACAGATGTTTTGTTCCGATTGTGCTGTCTGGGAGATCTCTGGAGCAGTTTGTGTTGCCGATTGCTTCAACCACGCTAGCTTCTTTGTTTACTATGTTGCTCAGGAATTGAAATTACAGTTCTGGCATTTTTTTCTAAAGGAGCCAAATCCAGATAATGAAACTAAGCTAAACTTTAAGGAAGCCTAAAGCGTGCCCAAGTGTCTTTCACTTTTAAAACAATTGTAATCTGAATGGGGCCATTGCTCATTGTAACGTGAACTCGGAAATGCAGTATTGAGGAAGAAAAGAGCCATATCCTGCTTCTAGTTGAATGAAAGTGTTCCAGGTTCATTAAACCAATATGGCCACAAACAATCCGATTCATTTGTCTTAGTCACTTTCCTATTGTACTTTCGTTCCACAATTAGTTTTTCTTAAGCGAGTTGGTACTTGCTTAAGGAAATGATATTGTAGAACAAGACTCGACTGTGAAAAGTAAGAGGCCGACTTTCCTCCTAATTTCTACATTTTAGTGTTTCTTCAAGTTTCATGCTACAGTATCATGTCCTTCCTTTACTCCAATACAGTATATTAAAAATATAGAAGACAACTGAGAGGAAGATATTGGACACCTATCTATTCCTTGAAGAAGAAACGATCTGAAACGGTGCGTCGTAATGCTAGCAAAGATGAAAAAAAAAAGATATGAAGCATCTTTTGAAGGCCCTCAATAAATGTTAAAAACGAGAAAATATTCCCGACAGTCCAGGATGGTGCACCTTTTACTCGCGACGAGAACTTGCTTTCTAAGTCTAGTTATTGCCATTATACCCATGCAACAAAGGACAGTACCAACGGCAGCACATGCATATTAATAATTTTATCGCGGAGTAGAACTGTATAGTTCATTTGCCGTAATTCAGACTTATCTTGCGAGCTAATTCAAGCCCAAACGAAATGTTCGAAGAGCCGAATTCAAATTTTACTTCTGAATGCTTATGATAATAGGCTATGTAGATTTTAGCCACTAGATAGATTTGAGGCATATTGGCAACATGAGTACACTGGCAAAAAATTGTCAGAGCAGGCACGACATTACTGTCCTTAGCAAAAAAAACCGATTTTATCTCTGTTTAGTTAAAGTATAAAGTAGACTTGGCTCTTTTAGAAAAAAAAAATACCGCCACAGTTGTTCAACTTTAGCGTAAAAAAGACAGTGATGACTATCTTGTTCTGACAGGGATGACTCTCGTGTATTTTGCAGAAAGCGAGCATTAGGAAGGTTGTTACACAGTCGACTTTTGCTATGTCACTCGTGATGGGCCAAAGAACTTGGTCTAAGTTTCTGGCGTGTCGAATAAATCTGAGTCATCAGAAAACAAAATGCAGTGTTGTTTTATTTGGCAGTATTTCACCTGAATACAGCATGCTCAATTACCCCCGTATTCAGAAACGCTGCTTAACTTGAACTTGACTTGCCGCAGACTTCGATGCAGCACAAACACGTTTCGAAAGCGCTGTCTTTAGGCTGTGCCAAGGCAGCACAAACGTACAGACGCATGTCAAATGCACTGCATTGAAGGCGGTTTCAAGTCAAGTTCAAATCGGAGTGTTTATGAATAAAGGGGTTAGTTGGTTCAGAGAAAATAAAGAATGAAAGGATAACTATTGAAGCTTAAGGGTTAATTATTGACAACTCGCAGATCCACATATCTGAGCCTGACCCTCTTCTGAATCGCACTATGCGTTAGGGGAGCGCCAATCGCTTGCCAGCACTTCCGCAGCAACCCCAGCAGTTACAGCCGGGATGCCATATCCTGCAGTTTGCATTGAACCATGACGGTGATGGGTTTCAGGCCAGCAAGGATAGAGACAAATTTTTCAACTGAAGGCGTTTAAAGACCTTTAAGAAAACATTGTCAACAGCTTCAAATACACATGAACTCTTCACCTGCAGAACATTCCACACAACTGAAGGAAATGTGCACTGATTTAGAAATGCATGTTGAAAGAGCAGTAAACGTTAAACTTGCCTTGTGTAGCTTTGCAGTCTGCATCCAATTAAGCTGCTAATATAATTCTAATATAAACCATTCAATTATGGTTCTTAAATTGAGGCTTTGGCAAAAGCCCCTGTGGTCAGTGGTCGTCACAATAAAAGGTAAGAAGGGTGATAACCACGGAAGAATGCTGGAAGTATAGCTGAACAAACAAAAGTACTAACGAAACTCTTCTGCTGGGGTAGCAGCCCAGACTCGGACTGGAGTGCTGCAAAGGTGACGAAGCGCAGTAGTGCTTCTTGGTCATTTGAGATGTGGTCACTCACACCTCTTGAGATTAAAGACCCATAAACATCCAGAAAGTGGCGTGTGTATCCAGATCTGATGAGATGAGTCTCCATGTAAAGGACAATGAGTGAAAAGGGGCATCCTAGTTGCAAAACTCAGTGGAAACATCAAAACTGCCCTTTACATTGCAACATCCCACTACTGTGCATAATAGTATCTCGTGAGCCAAGGTAACATTGCTTTGAAAATACTGGAACATGCATGCAATCTTGCAACTGAAGCGGCTCGGAAATTGATGGCACACCGAACTTTTAGTAAAGGAGAAGCTTGGCATGTCTTTAATTTTGGCAATAATAATAATAATAATAATAGTAAAAAAAAGACCACCGAGTTTTGGAAAAAGGCTATGTACTTAATATTCGTCACCATCATTCTTTGGCAGTGCTTCACTATGCACGGTCCAGTACAGCCTAAGCTTTAACATAACGGACAGCTACTGTAGGTGTGGCCCAGCTGTAAGAATGGAAAGCTGCAGCAAAGTAAAACATGTTTTAGAGTGCCTTTCGCTGCTGTGGTGGGGATAAACCGCTTTTGAAGACACAATTTATCCTGTCACAGCTATCCATTCTGCAGCTGCGCTACGCCGCAAGTATTTTTTGTCCTCTGTTATTTGGTTTCAGCTCAGGCTGTCCATCACATTTACAATAGATTACCTTCATCACTTTTCACACATTCAGCAGCGTGCTTTATGTGCCGCATTTATCAAAATTTATTCAATAGTCACCTGTGGCATAGTGGCAAACACTTTGTCCTATTATTAGACTTGGAAACGTGATAAGTTTTTCTTGCGGGTGTGCGAATATTCGAAATTTTGAATATCTTTTGAATAGTATTTGCTATTCGATTTCAATTGCACTGGAATTTTTACTATTAGAAGAAATATTCGAACTTCCCAAAGACAAATGCACTCAACGTCTGATTAAACGTGATCGTGACAGATCTTGTTTCACCTCATTACATCCTCGTATTGAGGCAAAGGTGCCTTTCAGGCATTGCTATTTCAGGTCGCAATTGTATGGACTAAAAAAGCGCTCTTTCCAACAAGGAAGTGGTAGATGTGGCAGAGGTGGGGGCTCAAATAATGCTGGCTTGAACCTGAAGTTTGGGCAGACAGTTGGAAAAACCAGACGTCGAAGATTTTTAGCATCCAAAATTAAAAAATGTTCTTGTATGTTGACATCTATGAGACAGATTTGGAACTCCAGACTCAAAGCGAGCACACCCTTGTCTGCCACATCAGTTGGGCTTCCACAGATGTTGAAAGAAGAGAAGTTGAGGATATAGCATCTTTGCCCTTCACATGTAAAATCCTGCCAACAACAATTTGGTTGCCCTAAATTATGTACTAATGAAATTTGGCCTTTGCATTGCCTCGTTCTTGATAAGACCATGAAATACCACGCCAAAGCGCTTCGTCAACCTAGTGAAAATAAGCACTCGTGTTGCTATATCTTGTAGGGAAGTGCTTTAGGGATCCCCTCTTTTCTCCCCAATATTTCACTTCAAACTATTTAACAAATATTCTAGAAATTTTGGAAAATATTTTTTTCTATTCGTACTCGCGCTGCAATATTTGCATTTGCTTCACACCCCAAATTTTTCTATTCGCACTATTCTAGTTTTCTTACTAAAAGTTGGGATTGGTGTCTACTTATGTTCTGTTTCGGAGCTTGAATATCAATTGTTTTTGTACTCTGAACCCATTGAAATGAATGACTGTTTGATTCCAAGAGAGGTTAAGATATGAGCAATACTGCCAAATTTGAGGGAAATTTCAGCATTCTTTTCCTGTTTAATTTGACTTGCCAGATAATTTGACCAATATCATTGGTCTTTTCATGAGAGGATTAACCAATGTCAACTGTGCCTGGTAAATGCGTGTATTACTATGTGCAGTTGTCTTTCTGCTTCATTCGTAAGCTTATGTTGCTTTCTGTACAGAGAACTATCACAATGATGAGGGTTGGGAATTTAGGGAACAACATCTTAACCAATGCATGTAAGTGTCGTTGAAAGAAAGAAGTGCTTTACAACAGTCTTGGAGTTGAGAGTCCGACGGAAACCTGTCAGATCAGGAAAAGACAAAAGACATGAGAACAATTAAAATTTATACTTGTCACAAATGTTCGCA